TAGAAAGGACGGATTAGCAGCTGACAAAAATCATCCGGACAGTAAACTCTTGCTACAAGTTTCATGCGCGTTGACCTTCAGTGCAGGATTCCTTGAAAGGGAGCTCCGTCTGCGAAAATGAGCTAAGTATTGGGGCGTGGGGAAAGCCTTGCTCACACTATGGAGGAGAAGCCAGAACCAACTGGCTGCAAACGCATTATGAAACACCAGCTTATGCCATAATAATCACCAAGACTTGGGGGGTGGGGGGGAGATAGATGATGATGATCATCATCATCATCATGGTTTCACATAGCAACACCAAGCCCAAATATCAAGAGCAACTCCCTTGCCGAACTTGGCACCCTTCACGTGTGGTGGATTACAAGTCCTATCACTCCCCTCTCCACAAGACCATTTAGGCAACAGAAGTTGCAGTTCAACAGGAGACCACAGGATTAGTCCGAACATTCCCCAGTTTTTGTACCAAAGCCAGGCCTTGGGGTTTATTTCTAGGGAAATCCATTTCCCTGAGTTCCACGAGCTTTCTCCGGAGTCAGGCTGCAGCCTAATTCAAATGTGGCTCAGATCAGCTGCTAATCTTGGTCCATATTTCAAATCCAGCCCCAGAGGCAGCTTCAACCTTTACCTATATAAAATCCACATAAGACTGAGAATGGTATAGCAAAGAAATAACCCACATGCACACACAAAGGCCCTATACTAAATGGGCTCGACGGCCCCCTAAGGTGACCTCTCAAAGTTTCCAGTGAGGTTCCCAGCACCAGTTTCCTAAGCAGGGTTCATATTCTCCACCTCCATTCATTAAGAATAGGGAGGGCAGGCAGAATGGTCCTGACCGCTTTGTGCACATTGACTTGGAAGTAAGTTTCTGGAGAGCCAGAAATGCATCTTCTAAAGAAGGTATTTTGAGCTTAGGCTTAGGATCCACGCGAAAATGACAAGGCACCTCTCTGCCCACCAACTCAAAGTAAGGCCCTTGGAGCTCAAGTGGACTGAACCTTGATAAATATGGATGCTAGACTGGCAAGCTTTGGGGATCTGGCCCGGGTGCTGCAGGAGATTCTTCAGAACCCTCGTAAGACTCCAGGAACCAGATCGAAGCCAGGCAGCTGTTCTAAGACTGTCTAAGACGGGGCAGTGGGTAAATGGTTGGCTGCGCTCTTCACACGCACGTGCGTGTGCACACACACACACACACACCATCCTTCCTTCTTCCATCAATTTTCTGTTCCGGGCATTGAAGGCTTTGTTAGATATGATTATGCAGATGTTAACATAACATGAGTTCTTCAAACTGCATAAGGGAAAAGGTTTTCTCTGGTGCAAGATCAGCCCCTTCCCGTGTATTCCTTACACGGGAATAGGAAGCCCCATCCAAAACTGAAGGTGCGAGTGGGGGGGAAGAGGAGGACTTTGCTTTGGGGCATTTATAGCATGCCTCATTGTATACCATGTGCTGTATACAATGTCCACCATGCAGAAAGGGAAGCCTCGTTTCCTTTCCACTACCCTTGCATGACCACAGCCAGGTTACCCCAGACTGCATGCGCACCCCTATAGTCAGCTAGTTGCAGTTCACAATAGATGGGCCCGACTCAGCAACCTGTGGTCCTGCAAATCTACGCTCTCCCTGGCCATTGGCAATGCGGGGAGCAGCTGCTGAGATGCGAATCCGTCCAGCCACCCATAGGGGAGGCGCGGGTTTCTCTCTCCGTTAAGGGGTTTATATTGCAGCCTTTCCCAAAAGGGCCCTCTAAATGATAGGCCTCGTACACATCCGAAGGAGCCTTGGTTGGGGAAGGTCGCTCTTCAAGACCGCTGAAAGGTGTGGCAGAGCAGGTCAGCGGTCTGGTGAAGAACTTTGGGAAGCCGGTGTTAACTATGTAGCCGAGTACGGTGCAAGGCACACCGCAGCGCCTGTTTTACCTGGCAACAGCCTCTCCGGGGGTGCGTGAGCCATTTCTGTAATGTAGCAGCTGCATGCGGGCCACCCCCTTCCAGGGAGGGATTTTAAAAGGAAAAAAAAATAAACATTAGGGCGAGGGATAAGAGAAGAACGAAAGAAGGGGCGGGGAGGAGGCGTTGGCGCACGGTAGGAACAACCAAGCCGCAGCCCCGTTTCGTTCCGTCCGCCGGTCCTTCGCGGGCGGAAGGTGGCGTCGGAGTGCGGGAACACGAACGAGAGATCGGAGCCAGGGAGAAGGACGAGCGCTTTTGCTTTCTGGAACTCGGGAGCCCAGAAGGAAAGAGTTTCTGCCCCAGCATGTTGGTGAGGAGGAGCAGTGCCAACGCCCGGGCCTTGTCCTCTACCTGCTGCTCCCAAGCTCGCCCCCCGCGCCCTCTCTTCCCCCGCGCCTTTCAGCCTCGAGAAGGGGCCTGACCCCGCCGGGAGGAGACTTCTGCGGGGGCGCAAAATTCCAGCCTTCCAGCGCCGACCGTGCCAGCAGCAGCCTGCGTAATCCGGGCTGCTTTAAAAGAGATGAATTAATAAAGCAAACGAGGACTTAATAATTCCGAGCGTCCTGCTTTTTGGGAGGGGGGGAGGAGGAGGAGGAGGAAAAGAAGAAGAGAGCGAGAGACAGAAAGAG